GATAGATAGATAGATAGATAGATAGATAGATAGATAGATAGATAGATAGATAGATAGATGGTGGTCCAACAGTCCAACAGTTTTGTTTACCACTGGTTCCACTGCTGCTTAAATTTCTTGACATCTTACACCTTCCTCTTACCTTGATATCCTTGATTTTTTTGAAAAACTTTCCTGGTTTTTTCTTGCTTAATGTTGCCCCCAGTCCATATTCAACAATACCATCCACTTGGGAATGATATATGTATATATATATAGGGATATTAGGGTCATTTTTTATGTAGCATTTATACCATACCTGACTGCATGAGCTCTAACAATTTTTTCTTTTTTTTGGGTCCAAAACGTGCTTACGTGGAGTACGTGAAGGCACCGCGGTCATGGGTTCTCCTTCTACGTCAATGACACTGGGCGGTTCATGAATGGGCTTCTGAAGTGGGAGGACCCGTCATCTGACTTTAGCAGGCTGGGGAAAAGTGGGTGTTGCGCCGTGTCGCTCGGGCTTGGTGCGACGCAGCTTCATGACTGTTTTTGAAGCCCACGGGCAGCGGTTGAGCGTGTGTTCGCGGACTACGGTGGAGGGCGTCGGCGGCCGTCGGCGGAGCCGCGCGGGCCAGCAGCGGGGCAGCAGCGGCGGAAACGCGTAGCTCCGACACAGCCAGACCCAGTGAACGCAGCCCGGAGCCACAGCGGGCAGAGGCGCGTCGGTGAGCCATGGGCTTCCGCAAGAAGAACAAGAGCCCGCCGGTGCTGAGCCACGAGTTTGTCATCCAGAATCATGCCGACATGGTGTCGTGTTTGGCCATGATTATCCTCCTCGGCCTGATGTTCGAGGTACGGTGCGAGCGGACAGGGAGGGCGCCTAGCCTAGAGATGTTAGCAGCGGTTAAGCACCGCTAGCTCACATGACAGCAGCACTCCAATGGCAGGGCGCTAGCGTATCTTCTTCCCTTCTCATGTATCTCTGATTGCCGAAGAAGATGCTAGGAGGCCCGCTGGCACAGCCAACAGGTCCTCTTACCGCTGGACTAATCCTATGCCTCCCCTTTTATCCCTGGAGGACAGCACAGGAGCCAGGGTGTGCATGTGTGTGTGTCTGCAGGCTGCACAGTTCACAGAGCTGGCATGTAGCTGCGTTTGAATGAAACAACATAGCTTTCCTCCCACTATCCTGTCCCCACCCAGATCTGTTCTCCATACCTCCCAGGTTCTCTTTCCAAAGGAACCGGTCTGGACACAGACGTTATACATCTGGATGCAGAGTTATCACATCCCTTTGTCTTAATAATAAACAATACACCCAGTTTTCCCAGCACAACCAGTAATAGCAGCCTTTGTGGTGGAGTTGCTTATGTTATACAGCCCACACAACCTTATTATGAGGGTGAATTCAGGATTCTCACAGGCAGAGGATTAAATGTTTGTTTTTTTACTGTGTCACTTTACTATTCACACAATGACTTGAAATCCTGTGCTTCAAAACAACACATAGATCTGATTGCCCCCTCTCTCTCTCTTTAGGTCACAGCAAAGTTTGCCATCATGTTCATCACGGTCCAGTACAACGTGACTCAAGTTCTTGGTGAGCTGGAATTAATTGGACTGGTACTGGCCATTATTGTCTGCTTATTCTGCAGTTTCAATCAATGTTTAGGCTCTAACTTTGTTGTTTTCCTCTCCTTTTTCTTCTCTTTATCCCTTTGACAGATGAGAAAAGTGAGCCGGTGAACCTGTACCAGTACGGCCCCAAAGATGTGGCAACTGTGTTTTTCTACCTGCTCATCGCGGTTATCCTACATGCCTTGATTCAAGAATATATTCTCGATGTGAGTAGATCCTGGTTGTTTTCTCCTTTTCCCGTATTTGTCCCCAATAGCTCTCACACGACTTCTCTTTTTCTTTTTTCTGTATGAATCACAAAGCCTGGCACAACTTGGGCTCTAAACAGCAACCCGGTTCATTTCAAAGGGATCAAAGTATCTGGGGCTTCATTACCACATGTGTCTACTTTGTATTCACTGTAGAGCACTGCTCAAAAGTCATCGAATTCTGTGTGTGACTCAGACAATGCCTCTCCTGCTTCCTCACTTTGATGACTATTCTCATGGGATTATTAAAAGAACGAATATAGACTCTCTTCTTCTTCTTTTTATACCAAAAATAGACGAGTAAACAGTTTATAGCATGTCTTTTGAAGTTATTTCTCTTTGGAGGGTGGTGCCCATCTGCACAGGTTTACGAGGATGCAGGCCGCCTCCTGTTTGGGACGTCAGTGTGCACCCAACAGTCGAATCAGAGCAGCTGTGACTAGTCGTGACCCCGGTTCTGCAGGGGGCACGCCTCATCTGGTTAGAGGATAGGCGCACTTATCTTGCACCTAAACTGTGGAGTGAGTGAAAAGCATGTGAAAACCAGGACTTGGCTCTGCTGATGGTGGAGGAGGACACCTACCGTAACCCTTCCAAGTTCCTGCCAGACTGAAGCCAGGAACATATTGTTTGACTTCTAAGGAGTGCAGATGTGACAGGTTTTAAGATGAGCTGCGGTTGCTTAATGAACTGTTGAAATCGATTAGTTTTCATGGATGGAAAAACATATGTTTTCAATTTTTCCATCTTATCACAAGTGTATCAAGGCTCCTGTTTCAGAAGTTTATCAAATGATGCAGTGGACACTGCTTTTTGCTGAGGTCATGTTTTTTAACACAGAAGAAGTTGCCGTGCTGTCGTACTGTGAGCACACCTGAGAATTTGAGGCGATGCGGCAGAAACAGTATATTTAAACCTAGATACAATGACCTCACTGCTGGTGAAATATCTGGCAATTGTTTCCATGTTTTCTTCTTAATGAATCCTTCCCTTCTTGTCCTCTCCTGGGTAGACCGTTGTAATACCGTTTTTCATATCCAGTATAAGAAGCTGAAAACAATAGTCCGTCTATTAACTCAGGAAATCATTGTCAGGTGTCCTTCACTTCAACCGCTAACCCTGCATGGTAATATTGTCCTTGTGCAATTATTCCAAATTTCAGAAAATGAACCGGAGGCTGCACCTGTCGAAAACCAAACACAGCAAGTTTAATGAGTCCGGACAGCTCGCGGCGTTCTACCTGTTCTCCTTCATCTGGGGCTGCAGCATCCTAACGGCGGTAGGAAGCCCGAGGCTCCCACAAACGCACCGTCTCTTACAGCATCAGGGCCTCAGCTCCTCATTTCTCTCTCTTTCTCCGACAGGAGGACTTTGCAACGAACCCCACTTTCCTATGGGAGGGTTACCCACACACTCATATGGTGTAGGTGCACATTTCCACACCTCTGTATGGCAGGCTGACATATCACAACTCTGAATTTGTAATCTCACTTTCATTTAAGTTTAATTGGGATTTTCGTCGATTGTTATATGAAAAATAACCCATCGAGATTTACTATCCTACATCTAAGTTAGCATGATGTTTCTGGTATTTTAGCAGTAGTCACAGAGCAGCCTCTTCTGTAATTCACTAATATAATCTTTGTTTTTCCCCCCACTTGTTCTCTGCACAACCTGTCATCTGTTCAGTTTCCAGGTTAAGTTCTTCTATATTTGCCAGATTGCCTACTGGCTCCACGCACTTCCTGAGCTGTACTTTCAAAAAATACGGAAGGTAAGGCTGATTTAGACCACTGTTTTTATTAGCCTCCCTATGTTAGCAGAGCATTGTCTGGGAATGCTTCTTTTACAAAATTACAATAATTTGGGAGTGTACACAATAAGTTGGGAAAAGTGTGTTGTGGATGTGTGCAGATGGAAACATTTTGGTAATGTTTGGTGGTCCCTGAGGTCACAAAGCAACCCCGAGGTAGATTGTTAGCTGTGAGTGTCCTCTTGTGCCACAGCTGTTGGCTTGTGTTGGCTGGGGCAGGTTTGAACCCCAAGGACTGCTTCTGAGAAAAGAAAAATGCTTTCTAAAACAAACGTGGCTGCACATCCGCCATTTTTTGAGCCTCACATTAACAAATCAGAAGGTCACTGAAATTTGTGTTGAGCTCAGACCTTAAGCAACATAATAGTAACTTTTTTTGTAGAATGAGGGCATTGAGTTTAATTTGGAAGAAATAAAGACAACACAGTAAAACAATATCTTATCTATGAATCGTGGTGCTTATAGTATCTTGGTCTATTTTTATTCATATAATTTCTATCAAGTGGCATGTTTGCTTCACTGTGCCATGTGAACCACATGCTCTGATGGCATTAACCATCCTCTCACAGAACCCTCGCTCAAAAAAAAAAAGCACACATCCTCAAAACGTGTGCTTTCAGAGTTTACTACTGTACCTAATGCAATCTCTCTTTCTTTGCTTGATTCCTACAGGAAGACATCCCCCGCCAGCTTTATTACATCTGCCTTTACGTTGTCCACATCACTGGTGCCTACGTCCTAAAGTGAGTCCGACTGCTCGAATGTAAAATGACACAGTTTTAACCGACTTCTTCCCTGGTCCGATACGCCGTTTTGTAGCTTACTGAGTCTTTTTTTTTTCTCCTGTTCTTTTCCTTTCATTATTAACGGTTGATCTCAGATGGGGAGATTGTGAACAGACATGTTCTCTCAGATTTGCACGTAGATGGGGATAGCATTCCCCTTCCCTCCTATAACTCTCCCCCCCTGTGCCTGTCTCCAGCCTCCACCGACTGGGCCTGGTGCTGCTGGTCCCTCACTACCTGGTGGAGCTCCTGTTCCACGCCTCGCGCCTCTTCTACTTCAGTGACGAGAACAAGCAAAAAGGGTATCCCTCCTTCTCGTTTTTTTCCCCCACGTATTTCCCAATTTGTGTTCAGTGTTTAGGAATTGTTGGTGATTTCTTTTTCAGATTTACTCTGTGGGCGCTGCTCTTCGTCATCGCCCGCCTCCTCACCCTCACGCTCTCGGTGCTGACCTTTGGCTTTGGCCTGCCCCGCACGGGAAATCACGGCTTTTCCTTAGCCGACGGCAACTTCAATGTGCTCACCATACGGTAGGCCCCGAGGAACTGCCCTCAAAACGGGCTGTGGTTTCCAAATAATTCGTGTGGCAGCCGAAACTAAATCATAGTGTAATGCCCCCCCCCCCCCTGCAGGATGACCTGTCTGGCAGCCATCTGCCTGACACAGGCCTGGATGATGTGGAAATTCATTAATTTCCAGTTGAAAAAGTGGAGGGAGCACAGTCAGAACCAAGCCTCAAAGAAGAAGACAGTCAGCCCAAAAAGCAAGCCGCATAAAAGAGAGCCCACGCGAGGTGAGCCCGCCCCCCCGCCCTCATGTTTACAGTGCTGCGTGTTCGGCGTTGCCCATCTTGTCAAGCATGCCTGTCCGAACTGGCTCTAATCGGGGGCGCTTCGGTTCTTTTGTCTCGTCAGGAGGTGCTGCCAACGGAGTTGTGAAGTCTGAAGATAAAACGTCTCCGCGGGCGAGAAAAGCCAAAGCTTCATAGAGGGGCTGGGAAGGGGCTGAGCTAAGGAGTCATGACAATGTGACATTATGTCGTTACACAACATCAAATTTTGTCTACTGCTCTCCTAAACAGAAGTTTTAAGCGCACTAAGAAAGCTTACATAACTGTCCCTTTGGGGTCCGAGCCCCTCTCTGAAAAACAGTTGAGTCTTGCTGTCTGCTAAAAGTGTTCATTATTCATTTGGGTTCGCTGCAGATGGGACGTTGGCAGGTCAGTGCTGCTTTTGATGCTTTAACAGGATGGATTTAGCTCTTCAAAGTGTCCTTTTGTGTAAAACTACGATCACTGGCCGGGTACTTTGGACCGAGTTGCTCCTCTGTAATTTACCATGAAATCTGTTCTCTCCACAGTACCTTTTTTAAAAGCCAGTTTTGACTTCAGGGCAACTTATTATAAAGCGGTTATGTTGAGATGAACTAAGCAGGGCGTCATTTTAAGTTTGGGCCTTATTTGATATTCTGCTGTCTTCAGGACAAGATACAAAATGGCTAACTCCAGGGGGAATGTTTGTGTTATTTAAGGTATTTGGCATTGCTTCCGCCAGAACAGAGAGGCTTGTGTTTAACTTCTCGATCATTATTTGAAAACCGTTGCCATTGAAATCCAGCGCTTTACAGGATTGAGGCACTTTTTATGTCATAGATGTCTTTTCTTTTATCTCTGACCTAGTGATCAGCCTGTTAAAGGGACCTGTGCAGGTTGAGAGACCCACCAGGAGGAAGCTAAACTCTAGTCTGTGATGCCTCTCTCTTTGCGTGAGTTCAGTCTTTACAATGGCACCACGGAAAATCGGAGCCAGTTTTTGGCCACTTTAAGCGCATGACTGAGGCCAGATTGGCTTCTTCAGTCGGGGGAATGCGTGATGGTGTAAAGTCGAAGACGCCACAGCCCTTTGGTGCGTTGTGCTTCGGAGCTCGTGTCTCTCCCACACACTACCACAGACACACACAGAAGCATTCAGTGGCCTTTTCTTTTTCTCTTTTTACAACTGCTGCAAGAGTTTTCAGTTATTTTTTGTCATAAGCTGCAGATAGTTTTAATTTTTTTTAATGCTTTTAAAAGCTATAACCAGCAAACACAGCGGTACATAGCAACAGCATTTAGTTAACCCAAACAAAACAATCTTTCTTCAAGTGTCCTTACGATGTTGGTGGTTTGTATCACTCGTGCTTGTGTCGTGTTCTGTTTGCCTTCTCTCGTTGCTTTTTGAAATACTCGGGTAGCGTGCGTTTTGCCTCTTGCACCATCAGTTATATCATTGGGCACTTATTTATTGGTGTACAATATTGTTTGGCTGATTGTGTAAGTGTGTGATCTAATCGGCCTGAATGACGACCATGCTGGTGACACAATGTTTATTGCTCGTCTTGTTTTAAGAAAGAAGGAAAAAAAAAAAAAGCCTGTCTGCAGAGCATGAAAAGTGACAATCTGCTCATTGACTCCTGCCCTTTGGCCGTGTTTTAGTCACTTTTTTCAAAGCTATCTGTAATGGGAGCCGTCTCAGGGCTCGTGGCGCCCGATGTGTGTGGAAACACTGAATTGTGGCTTGCGTTGTGTACGTTCAATGGGTTAGCGTTTTCTAGACTCTTCTGTGATTTAACGGGCCCGACAAAACATGCCGCATGTGGCATGTTTTGTCCTCCCTGCTGTACCTTTTCAATGATCTTGACATTGCCATGAAGCAGTCGCACTGTTTCCTCCAGCTGTGCTACGACACCACTGTGCGCGAGACGCCACCAACTGATAAAGACTTTAGGTTTAGGGTTGTAGTGGAGAGTTCGGATGTCTGTTTTTTATTTTTCAATCTATATTGTTTGTTTCCTTTTTTTTTTATAATTCAGTTTATTGTCCATTTGTGGGCATTTGGTTGTTTCTGAAGGCCTGTGCTTGTGTGTGGCATTGTCATAGGAGGAAAGGAAGAGCAGAGGACTAATGTACCAGCCTCTCATTAAACTGTCTCAGAAGTAAAAGCTAAAAAAAAGATAAACTGACTTAACCCTACACTGTATGAAAATATGTGTCAGATTTTTAAGCTATTTTTATAGAGGGAAACTATTGAAATTGACTGTTGTTCAGTATATACGTGTGAATACTTGTTTTGCATCCATGTTATGAATTGTTTGTTTTATAACGCACATATCTATATAAGAATGAAGCTTGCTGAATCATTTGTGTCTATACGTTGTGGTACGAGTGTAAATCTTTCTTAGCCTGATGGTTTATGTAACTTCATGGCCTTATTAGAGCAAAGAGAACTCAGTTGTGTAACAGTGCTCAGTTAACACTATGCTGCAGATGTACATGGCAGCCTCCACAACTACGTGTTTCACAGCATCAGTTTGAAAAATCAAATGAGATGAGTGAATGGTCAGTATGGTAGTCCTCTATTTCTGTCCAGCAGGAGTCAGCCCCGGTTGTTAAGCTAACAAAGGCGTTTTTTTTTGTTGTTGTTGTTGTCCCGGGTGAGAACATCTGTGAGCTTTTCCAGCTCGTCAGGTGTCACACTGTGCAACAGTCGGGCTCTGAAACCGGAGCCGCACAGCAGCGCGAGGCCCCGCCGCTTTAGAGACACAATAGCCTGTATATTCCCACATTAAAGCACTTTTTTCCCCCTTTGTATGTATTATGCACCGTAACACTGCTCACTTTGCTCTCTTTTTTGCGTAGATTCTATTCAGCGAAACATGAATTGGAGTTGCTCGATTTTAAAACTGTGCATTTTGTTATTGTCCGAACCCAGAAACAAAAAAAAAAAAAAGAAGACTGCAATGAATTTATTATATGAGCAACCTCTAGGTGGCAACAGTCCTTAAGCATTAGAACACAGATTACCTTTAAAAAAAAAAAAAGAGGAAAAAGAGGACCTGCATAGAAGAGACACAATGTTTATTGTTCTATGAATTCAGTTTGCATTGTCCTTGATTTTATTTTTATTTTTTGGTTTGTTTTTTTGCACTTAGTTGATAGATGTAACAATATTTTTCCTTCTGAAAAATGCCACATTATCTGCTCTTATGATATATATATTTATGCAAATTCTTTTGATTATTTTTTCTTTGTCACTGTTTTTTATGTCTTGAATAAAGCTTTTGTTCATTACCCAAAAGTTATGAGATACGACTGTTATTCTGTTCATTCATATATGGCTCACAGACAAGTTAGTTTAACTGTCTGTGAAAGGGACATAAAAAAATGCAGCAGTTTGAAAGTACACAGTGAATTCCTCTGGCTGTGAATAATTACCGACATTGTTTTATCGCAAAGAATGATGGACAACACTCTGAAAATCACAAAAGAAAGGAGACTAAATCATCCAGGAAATGGCTTGAAATATGTTTCTGTTCAAACATAATCCTGTATTCCTGGTATGAGATCCCAGCATCGCTGCCATTCGTCTGCCGGGGAATTGTAAATACCATATTTGCGCTAATGACCGGTGAAGAACAAGCACGGCACGGACAAGAGACACCTGCAGCTGACAGTTAGTGTGTTGTTTCTGACTAATGGCTTTTCTTTGTGCAGTCAGACAGATTGATGGATCAGTGGCAACCAGAGAGGCACGCTGGGGCTCTGAAGGGTTAGCGTGAGGACGGGAGTTCATTCTCCCACTCTCCATCAAGTGCACACTGGTGATCGAATCCCCCACCCAAATGACCCCAGCCCGCTCGCAGGACTCTCCCCAAGAAAACTTGCAGAGAAAGTTAAAAAGGTATGGGGGTAATGCAAGGGAATAATCTTTTCTTCCCCTCCCTTTCATCCAATGAGGATAAATCTCTTGCTGAATCGTCAGTATTATGTGTAATTTCCATATAAATTAGCTTCATTAAAATGGGAGTACTTTCTTGTTTAACGAAGCTCATTTGAAATTCTGTATTTAATAAGACATGTAATCCCAGGCTTGCAGACTAATAGCCAACAATTAGCAGGACAGGAGCCTGTGTGTGTGTGTGAGTGTGTGAGTGCGCGTGTGTGTGTGTGTGTGTTTAATCTCTTGGAAGTCTTGTCGCCCCTCAGTGTCATTCACATTGATTGTCTAGAATAAGCAAAATGGCCAGCACCTGCTCTCCCAGTCAAGCTGGCTTGGAGGAGATCTCAGATGTTTGTGACCTGATGGTTATTTGTCTCTGAGCAGAAGAAGAAGGGAATGTGTGAGGTGAGCAGTGGAGGTAAACACATCTGGAGCATTCTGAGGGTTATAGGCAAAAAGTGGCTGAGAGAAAGAGAAACACATAACAAGCCGGAGAACACACTATGGAGGTCTGAGTGTGTGAGAACAGGAGCGCTGTTGTAACATTGTCCGTCAGAGCCAGCTAATGCTAATTAGAAAGAACAACTGACTGGAACAGACAAGTGGAAGAAAGATGAAATAAAGAGGCAGTCATGTCATTTGGCATCACTCCGCTGTCTAACTTTGTACAATTTGGAGTTTGCACTCTCTTCTTCACGCATTGCGTTATTGCTTTAGTTAGTTTAGTCTGCTTAATGGAATTGGGTTAGTAACTTTTTACTTAAAACCCAAAAGCTCTTTCAGTCGCATACAGATATGTTGAAACAGTGAAAGTTTATGACGGATTAACTCATTTACTAGACTAATTAAAATTTAGATTAAAAGCTGTCTTCAAGTCAGGATTTGACTAAAACCAAGCACATCTTAATGAGCATTGAATCAATAAAGTATCCTTCTTTCAAATAAATCGCTTTGTCCATTTAAAAGGCTTAGGTGTGCACACAAAGTGGTCCAACTACTATGCCTCCAGCTTGAGCCAGCCTACTCCCTGCATGTAACATTATCCAGTCAGCAAAACCGTGTCGAAAACTTCAGCAAACCCTGCTGGAAGCCACGAAAATAACTTTGAGAGGCAGTCAAAAAACAGACCAGAGTTTAAGTGACTGAAGTGTTGCATGTCTGGGTAAATTGGAGGTAGAAAGGAACAGCAGAAGAGCTGCATTCTCCCCATTTCCTCCAATTGGCGCGCGTGCATACTTGCAGTGCAGTTTGGGAGTCCTGTCATCTGTAGAAATACTCACTTTAGAATCACTTTGCAGTTTTGGGAGACTCCAGTGGTGGTGTACAGAACTGGTGAACTGTGATGTGTGTGGGAACAATCACCTTACCTTAAACATAAAAAAGACGAAGGAGGTGATTGTTTATTTTAAGAGGACAGGGGATATCTCTCTAACCAGCAAAAAGGTGGAGGTGGTGACACGTGTTCAGGATTATCTAACGTAAACTTGATAGACAACATTGCACATTCTCTACACAACTTAGTGAGCAAACAACTCAGGGCTTCAGTCAGAGGCTTCTTAAACTCTGCTGCCACGAAGGAAGCAGCAGGAGTTCATTCGTGCCTTCAAAATAACTTACATAATGAGAATATCTTACAAGTTCTTATTAATAATTTTAGTTGTAATTATATGAATTCCCTTAGGGGAAATGGTGAATAGTCATTAATATTTGATCAAATTACCTTTCTTGCCCTCACTTTCCAGTTTCTGTTTTCAATAAATAATAGCTTGAAGTATATTAGTATATATTATATTATATCCTATTGTGTATATATATATATATATATATATGTACCTGTGTGTGTTATCGTGTTTCTTTGAATTTTGACAGACTATACATTGACATATCTTATAAATGTGATCATCTTAAATATAAAGTAACACTTCTACAGCTGTTACTAATAACAACAATTGTAATAAAAGTAAAGAAATCTCATAATTATTAATAGTAGCATTATGAAAAAAAACCCTGCCTCGTCAACAACAATTTTTTGTGAGTTACAACACTGTGGTTTGTCCTGGCAGTGGCTGTTTTTGAGTCAGCATGCACGTGTAGCTTTTGACAGCAGCATTCACATTGCTCCAGATAGAAATCAAAATACTGATTTATGTATGCCCTCTGCTCCCTGAGGAATGCTTTCAAGGTTTTTGTGTCTGCATGCAGATGCGCGGCAACAAGCTTTTCATCTGGAACATGAGTATTGACAAGCCAACATGCATGTGCCAGCACAAACACAGGCCCAGGTCAGTAAACGGGACTGCTAACAGCACTGGCTGGGTCACATTTATTTACACTGTCTCGTCAATCCCCTTTGTTGCCTTAACTATATTGACAGCCAGTTTCTGCACTGAGACAAAGAGAAGTCCCAGATGCCATCTTCCCTTCCCAGTAATTGCATTTCCTTTAAAGGTTTTGGTTTTTTGAAACGGCAACATTATCATCCCCTAAGGCTTTCAAAACACTGATATAACAACAACTCCCATTTTTGCTTAATCAGTTCAATCATCATGCTGCATTGATTTTGCATCGTATGATGCAGAGCTGGATACTGAAGTCTGAAGTATGTGTGTGTGCACATGTGTTGGGAGATATTCCACCAACCTCCTGAAGGCTCGTTGCTACCTGTTTGGAATTTTAAACAGCTTCCCTGTTCCTCTCACCTTCCCATAACTGACTGCAGTCCCCTACATTATCACTGATTATTTGTTTCCTTTACTTAAATACATAGGAGGCAATCAAATATTAAATACAGGACTATCCTCGGTATAACTAATTAATCAACAGTGTGGATTGTTTCTTTGAATACTCAGTTAGACGGGGAAATCACAGAGATCTGAGTGTAATTACTTTTTTTTGTAAGCAAGGCTGTCAATATGCTTCATACCTTGGCTCTCATTATGATTTCATAAAAGCAAGCTAAGTGATATTGAACGTATTAAAACGAGCTATCCAATAATCTCAACAGTTTGTACCAAACCGATGACCCCGCTTGCAACGTCTGTATTGACTCCTTTTGTTTCTGCAAAGTATCTGAGTGGGCCTTGTTGCCCTGTTATTTTCAATGAAATCGGATTCTTTTCACTGCATTCTGCTCTGTAGATGATGAAAGGTCAAAGCACTTTGCGACTTTGAATTTTATTTTATTTTATTTGCATTCTTAATGAAGATTTTCTGATGGAAAATGGCACAAGGTGCTGAACCATTGCTCACCCTTGCTTTGAAAGACAAAACCTTTTGGTGAATGCGACTTCCACAGTCAGTTGTGACACCCTCACCAATCACTATTTAAGATACAGATATAATTCATTGCATATTCTTTTGAACTCTGGCTTTCGGTGCCTCTCTCATCTTCATACTTTTCCTTTTTCCATTGGATCGTGCAATGCAATTTGAATTTTGTGAACATTTTCTAAATCGAAGGGAATTGGTAAGTGAAGATGATATGTTTTCTGTTAAAGAAAACTTTCATTTATAAACAAATGACAGATTTGGTCTACGGCACAGGTATTTGTTTAATGTTTTGGGATTGTGCTCTTACATTTTCAGAAATAAAGAAATGGTATCATTCACATCCGATCATCTCTCACTGAGATCTATATTTGTCCTCTCACTGCTTAGCCTTATCTTGGGATTTATGCCACACCAATCAGTTTGAACACTAGTCTTATCCCTCATCAAGCATGATTCAACATTTCTGACACTCGCTGTATGCCTCCCGCCTCTCAATTTTTAGTCAGACGTGTGCAGTTTTTATCAAACTTTCACTCGCTCTGTTGAACTTCTGCACTTCTCTTCTGCAGTTGCATACTTCACACCTTCTTCTTCACTCCTAGTTAACTTTTTCAGTCTTTAGCATAAAGGTTTCCCTCTTTACCCTTCTCTTCAGGTAACACAATCTTGTCCCTGCATCCTCTCAAACTGGCTGAAACTAAATTCTATAAGCTCATCATCTGGTCTCCCTTCTCCCTCTTCTTCCTCTTTATCTTTCATT